GCGTCTGCAAGCAACCAGGCAAGCCACAAAAGCTCGAGAGAGGCAAAGCAGACCGCCGGGACGTGCCAGAAACACCTGACTCGAATCCGCGGGGTCACGGTGTGAAGGGCTTAGGTGTAAGGGTTGATCCCATCATGGGCCAGTTTTGGCATCCTGCACCACAAGGAACGCATATTGTAGCCATCATTTGCCAAAGGAGCACCGACGCCAAAAGCGCATGGATACAAAGGAGAAATCAAGATGACGGATGAGAATTGATGCCTCAGGTGGTGAGCATATTGATGGGAGCGGACTAGGTGCAAGGAAGGATTCGGGGGCGATCCGTCAACACGGAATTGAACACGTGGGGACTCCCTTTCTCTTGGGGAATGAAACCAACAGCAGGTTATTTGTGCTAGGGTCTTGCATGAGTTTATAGGCCCTAGAGAGGTCTCCTAACCCTAAACCCTAAACCTAAACCCAAACCTAAACCTAAACCACTTTGGTGCGGCCCTGCAGCAAGATGTCGCCACACCTCCAAGTTTACCGGGCCCATTGGCCACGCAGCACAGGAGCAAGCTTTGAGGCATGAAAAAAAGAAATGAGGGCATGAAGCAAAGGTCCGCCAAGTCTCCGCAAGGGTTTGGGGCGGTAACAGGCTCAAGGATACAGGTATATGAACCCAAACCGACCCTAAATCCAAAACATAAAACATTTAGTGGCATTAAGGATACAGGGGTTTTTTTTCGGTGTGTACCCACCACCCCCCCCACCCCCACGCTTCCGCCCTCTTTTCGCCCCGCCTGCGACCCATACGCCCCCCCCAGCACCCCACGCCCCGGGGGGGGGCCCCGGGGGGGGCCACGCCCCTTCGAGCCCAAGGTTTTCTCAGGGCCTCAAGCATATTGCATAAAGCCCGTCACCCTAAACACGAACCCTAAAAAAAACAAATCATCCTCAAAAAACTTATACTAACAGCGGGCTTTCCTGCCTCGCTAAGGACCACCCCCGCCGGGCCTGTGTACTATAGAGGGTGACGCACATTTACTAAATGCGTCGGGCTGGCCTGTCGACTACCTATATCACACAATTTGTTTGGGGCCTCCTTTCATAATGAAATTCCATAAGGCTTTACATGGAACTGGCCGGGCTTAGCTTTCTGGATTCTCCGGGCTCTGGCTCGTTAAGATTCCTGGAGCCCAAGGATTTTAGGGCCTCAAGCCTTACTGCGTAATACGCCCTGAAACCTAAGCACAAACCCGGAAAAGAAACTTGTCATAATTGCGGGTCACCCCAACAAACTGATGTCGCAGAACAAATCTTCGAAACTTGTGATTATAGACGCTGCATAAACTAAAGCCAGTGCAACATTAAATCCCTTAATCCCTATTCATCAGAACATTCAGAGCTAGTAAGATATAAACCACGAGTAGTTGTTTTAGTTCAGGCGCATTGGCCCAGTACTTCTTAACTTAGGGTTACGGGTTAAGGGTTTAGGGTTTTGGGTAGTAAGAAGGACCCCTTGAGAGCTTCAGGTCCAGTACCGAATTCAGGGGTATCGGGTTCCTTTGAGGTACAGGGCTTTGGCACACCTTCAACATCAAGCCCACGCAAGCAGTCCTCTGAAGATTTCACGCACGACATTTCCAATCTCCGCGATCACATCCACCTATGTGGCAAATGGCACCCTTTAGGGTGCATGGGTTTAGGGTTTAGGGTTTAGGGTTTAGGGTTGAGGTTTATGGCCCGAAGATCAAACCCCCAAGTTATGAGGGTTTTGGGGGGGCATCTTAAAATACCCACTTGGGGGTGGAGGGTGTGCTAAACGAGTCTGAGCCCGAAACACCAAAACCGAAGCACGAAACCCTGCATCAGAAACTCTGAGCCCAAGTAAGATGGCCCAGGACTCACCCTTGGGCCCTCAAAACACCAGGATTTGAGACCCCAGGACCCTTCCTAGGAGGTACCTGTCCTCTTGGTAGCCCAGGAGCCATAAGGGCACTTTTAATTTGGGCTGTTTTTATAAAAACAAAAAATTGTTTTATAAAAACATTGTTTTTGAATTGTTGTTTATAAAAACAAAAACAGCTTTTATAAAAAAAACAATTCACAAGTTACTTTAGAAGGGAGCCTTGAACCCAAAAAACATGTGAAAAGGGTACCGCTGGGCTGCCAAGTCCCTGGATTGTAGGGTTTAGGGTTTAGGGTTTAGGGTTTAGGGTTTAGGGTTTAGGGTTTAGGGTTTAGGGTTTAGGGTTTAGGCTTCTTCAGGGACGGGCTGGTGCAAGGGGGGATGTAACCCCTCAAGGATGCCTAATACTCCCCACTTCTCCCTGAGCTTCCCTAAGGCCCCCGTGACCCCCCCCCCCCCCCCCCCTCCCTTAAGAACACTACAACTGGAGGCCCCTAAACCCTAAACCCTAAACCCTAAACCCTAAACCCTAAACCCTAAACCCTAAACCCTAAACCCTAAACTCCAAAACAGTTGGGAAAAAACAAACAAAAACATCTCCCAAAGCTCTGCCCGGAAACGGGATGCCCCTCATAGGGTCTTTGCCTTACTTCTCCCAAAGTCCAGGGACCTAAACCCTAAACCCTAAACCCTAAACCCTAAACCCTAAACCCTAAACCCTAAACCCTAAACCCTAAACCCTAAACCCTAAACCCTAAACCCTAAACCCTAAACCCTACGCGAAGCTGCATCCAGTCCAATGGTTCAGACGCGCTGTCGATGTGGTGCCACAGGACAGGCACGGCCATGAACACAAAGTTCCTTAAGCGCTTTAGGGTTCAGGCGTTATAGGGTATGGGGTTGAGGCTTTAGGCTTTATAGGGTTTATAGGGTTTACAGGGTTTATAGGGTTTGTAGGGTTTAGGCTTTACAGGGTTTATAGGGTTTAGGGTTTAGTGTTCTGGGGTAGGTTCGGGGGCCCTATTGCAAAATAACGTTTAGATGGCATCATAAGGATTCTATAGGGGAAGAGGGCAATACAAAAAAATAGTAGATGTTCAAACCCACCGCTGTCTTGATGTAGGGTTCTGGGTTTACAGGGACCGGAAACTGAACCAAAACGACTCTAACAGTGGAAAACTTCTTCTCAAGCACTAGGTTCCTGTAGGTCAAAACCTGCGTTGAAAGCTCTTCAGTTAAGCAGGCTGTGACGTCCGTCCGCACAAGGTTGTTAAAGTTCTCGACGCTGCCAAACCACTTGCAAATGACCGATAACCTCGGCTTTCCAAGAATCTACCCTAAACCCTAAACCCTAAACCCTAAACCCTAAACCCTAAACCCTAAACCCTAAACCCTAAACCCTAAACCCTAAACCCTAAACTAGGGAGACAATGGTCTAGCCTCTGGGGATGATTGTTGAAAGCGACTACGGCAGAAATGCGTTTCTACGGTCTTACCACAGGTTTGTGGGCGGCTTGTACCTTCTTTAGTAATTAGGGTTTAGGGTTTGGGGCTTAGGGTTTACGGTTCTAACCTCTATGAGGCAACAAGGCAGCTTCTTCCCGATAAGGGGAAGGGGGGGGGGGTGGCATGACCAAGATCATCTCCTTCTAGTGCGTGCAGAACTACACTGAAAACTACTTAAACGGGGGTTTGCGAAAACCGGGGACCCCTAAAATGGACCCCCAAATAGTAGGAGCAGAATCCCCTTATAATAGGGACCCCAATAAGGTACCCCTAGTTTCGGCAACCACCAAATAGATCCATCTACGAGTACTGAGCGCCCGCAAATAAGTAACAGGGCCCGCCGATCGCAGACCATCCTCTGCCCATGTTCGTCCCTGTGGCCAACAGAACAGCAAAAACCTGGGTTGCTGTTCAGGGTTCAGGGCTTAAACTACTAATTGCTTATAAGAACCCCGAAAAAACAAACATTCTTCCTTATTAAAGGTGGTATAGGGATTATCATGTTTCATTCTTTTGGGGTTCTTAAGCAAATAGTAGAAGATCGTACATGGGTATATTGCAAGGAACATGTGTTTGCCTTGGGGCACTCTCAATCCAGGCTTCGAGGCCGAGCTCCCCGGGAAAAAACACTAACAGCAAACTTGGGAATTTTGGTACCCTGTAAGGCCCCTTAAAGCCCAAAGGTTAATCATTAACCTGGCCTTATAGGGTACAACAAATCCCAAGTTGACTGTTGAGCTCAGAAGTATAAAATGTTAACAGAAACCATGTGACACAAGCACGCCTCGCATTGAAAGCCCTTCAACTCCATCTGCATTCCTTGGATCAAGGGACTGCAGGAGGGACCCTTATAAGAGACCTTAAAGGCTCTTTGGGGGTTATTGAGAGCTTACTTAAGCATATAGGGACTGTATAGGGTAGTCCCTTCTAGGGTTCCCTCCTTATACACCCTTAACCGTATGGCTTCTGACACCCCCTCCTTCTAGCAGCACCTGAAGCTAAAGTCCTCAGAGCCAAGCGGAACAGAATAAACTCAACCCTAAACCCCTAAGCCGGAAACCCTAACAGAACACCCTGAACAAAAAACAAAAAAAACTAAAACCCCAAACCCTAAACCGACGAAACCCTAACAAAATCCTGCTAGGGACAGGTGAGATTCCCCGACTCTGGAGTAGACCCTGGAAAAAGTCTATACTTTTTCGGTATAAGTAGCTATCCAGAACCGACAAAATATTATAAAGTATCGTACGAAAACACCCTAAGCCCTAAACCCTAAACCCTAAACCCTAAACCCTAAACCCTACTAAGACACCCAGATTCTCTCCACAGATCGGGCGAACTCCCGCAGCTTGGAGATGCTCCAGAAAAAGAAAACAAAGCCTTAGCGGGTTTAGGGTTTAGGGTTTAGGGTTTGGGGTGTAGGGTTTTGGTACCAAATGAACTCTACATTTGGGGTTATATACCCTGTGCTGCTACAATTCCTACTAATTAAGGCATATGACCAGAATCCCAGTTCATGTGGTCCCCAAGGTATAGGTTTAGTCAGGGGTTGAGGGTTGACGGGTTTAGGGTTGGGGGCTGACTGCTTCGGTCAGTAAGGCCCTTATTTGCACTGGGCAAACTTGGCATCAGAGCAGCCAAGCGCGGCCATTGTCGACCACGCGAGTGCGTGGCTGCCGTACTGGGCCCGGTCAGCTGGAATAAATGCCATAGACAACAGCACCTTAGTTGCTGAGTTCAGAAGCCCCCCCCAAAAAAGTGTACACTTTCAATTCCCTAAATGGATTAGAGTATCCCCCAAAAAGCGTAAAGTGACTACTCACTCAGCAAACTAAGGCACGAAGGACAAAGATACAGGGATGGAGATGAAGCAGGGGCCCAGCAATGTCGGCCTGGCTCTTATGCTCGCCTTCTTACCTTGGCTGCACTCAGGAGGGTAGCTATAAATTAAACTTTTAGCTGCCTTAATAAGAAACCCAATAAACCCAAAAAAGGTAAGGATCTAAAGTTACAGTAACGTACCACAAAGTTACCAGGGTGGGCATGCAAGAAGGAGGCAATCTCGAAGCAACACCACATGCGCTGTGTGTACGTCTCATCCCACAGCACAAGTAGAGAGTCTGCTGCCTTCAGAAAGACCGGCATGCTTAACAGCGCCGCGCACTTCCATCTGTCATCGTCGTCGTTGATGCACAACGCATCCAAGAATACTGTTTTCCTCGGCTTCCAGCAAAGGAGGACGATGCAGTACACGAAGAAGCCAACAGCCTTGCCCCAATAGGATCGGAAAGGATACTCCGGCACAGGCGGTGACGCCTGGTGCTTCTGGAAACTCATGGGCAAAATGCCCAACGCGAAAAGACCTGCTGCACCAGCAGCACACCCTGTGGCAATCAATGGCGCAATGCGTCCGTTGTTTTCCTTACTTCTCCAATAACCAAGGAAAAAAAGAAGGTCAAACTGTAGCATGCCTACTAAATAAGGAAACCCAAAAAGCTTAAAGTTCAACTAACGGCGAAGTAAGTTTCGAAGAAGGCCGTGATCACCTTTGCCCGTGTGCTGCCATGCCAACTGTGGCTCCAGAATTCATCCATCTTGCCAGTTTCAAAGCTGGCGAGCCAAGGGCCTCGAGAGGGTTTCGGGTCCCCGGCTTTAGGGTTTCGGGTTCAGGGTTTAGGGTGTGAAGTCTGAGGGCCACCGATTTTTTTCTCGCCCTTCCTGTACCAATTACTAGCTCGAGAAAGGCATTGGGTACCTCAGATCACCAATAGAGGCCAGTAAGGGACGCCATACAGGGACCCCGAAGTCCCTCAAGCCCTACTCTTATAAGAATCCTGGGCCTTTAGATCTTGGAAATAAGAGATGATCTATTTCGTCATCGTATTCTTGTCATTTCGTGGCGATTTGTGATTATTTGTTTGTCATGTTTTTTGTCATGTGCTTTGCTATTCTTGTCGTTTGTTTGTCTTATCTGTGCCGGGGCTTCTTCTGTTCTTTGTTGGGCTTGAACTTGACGGGTAGCCAAAACCCCCGAGTTGGGTGCACTGGGTTTGTCCGTCGCGCATTTGTGCAATTTCCGGAGTGGTGGGAGCGCGGAGCGCGGCGGGGGGGCTGGGTGTGGCGGAGGGGGGGAGGCATCGTATTGGCGCCTGTATACTTCATCCGGCCAAGAGACAGCCCCCAGTTCAGGAAGCGTGGAAGCTTCAAAGAGCTGAATAGCAGACAGCAATCGAACAACAGGCACAAGAATGGGTGACAGCAAGACGTCAAGGCAAAAAGCACTAACCAGAAAGAAGAATAAGAGAAGACATGGCAAGAGATGGTAGCCAAAAAATGACTTTACCATGGCAGAAAAATGACAAAGGCAAACCACGGGAAAAATGACAAAAATGATTCCTGGACATGCCACTCTGCAGGCAAGATTCTTCTATCCCTAATCCCTAAACCCTAAACCCTAAACCCTAAACCCTAAACCCTAAACCCTAAACCCTAAACCCTAAACCCTAAACCCCAAACAAACCCTAAACCCCAAACAGATCTGCAGGCAAGATTCTTCGAACCCTACTCCGAACACCTCTGTGCCCTCGGAAAGCGCGACCGAAGCACCGCAGCGCACGTCCAGCGCGCACCTTGCCGTCGGTTCGTAGGGAATTGGGGGAATGAGGGTGGTGCCCTATAGAATCCTTTAAAGGGTATATTAAAGGGGGATATAGGTGGTGCCCTATACAATCCTTTAAAGGGTATGTTAAAGGGGGATATAGGGTTTAGGGTTTAGGGTTTGGGGTTTAGGGATACCATTCCCTCAGTCCCTACTAAGCAACAGTAAGGCACGGCCCGGATGACGCCCGGCATGGTCGGCTGCATGGTAGCGAGGACTTGGGCCGCACACTCCTAGGTTGCCAGCGGGGTGTAGGGTTTAGGGTTTAGGGTTTAGGGTTTAGGGTTTAGGGTTTAGGGTTTAGGGTTTGGGGTTTAGGGCTTCGAGCCCAAAGGATCCATGAACCTACGTAGTATAGGCTTGGGCCCCTCAAGCTACTAAGCAGGAACCCTAAACCCTAAACCCTAAACCCTAAACCCTAAACCCTAAACCCTAAACCACCCCTTTTAGGCCCAAGGATTTCTTTACTCTGCACGCAGCATGGATCCTCAGGGAAGCGAAATTAAGCTACCATTCCAAAGCTTAGGGACCGAGGGCTCCGTGGCATGGTGTATAATATAGAGGCCTGAATAATTTGAACAGGGTTTTGAGGGTTATTATGGCATCATTATAAGGGGACCATAAGGAAATATTTGCTAGTATTTATTCCGACCCCTACGTTAGTGAGCAGTAGGGTTTCCTTATTGTGGCCATTTCAATCAAGCTCCTTAACAATAGCCCAGGCTCTTCCTTTGAGTGGACCTGCATTGGGTCGTCGTCATCTGAGAATTCATGCGATACATCCGAGCCATTAGCAGAACCTGCGGCTCTCGCCACTTGGTAGTGAAGGACGTCGGAATCGGCCGAGATGGCCGGGTCACCATCCGAGCAATCATTAGCAGAGCCGGTCGCTGTCCCCTCTTCTTTTTGAAGGACGTCCGAATCGGCTGACGGAGAGCCTCCAATCGCGTCGGCCGCCGACATCGTCCGCACGCAAAAACAAGCAAGGAGCACTAGGGGATCGTAGGCCTTTGGGTACATCATAAGGAGCCAGAGGGGTGTAACAATGGGAGGTGTAAGTTCGTTGCGAGCAAAGCTTGGGGTGTTGGACGCCAGAATTACGTCCTGGTTCAGCCTGGATGTACAATGTGCTTCCAGCATGTTGCTGTTTTCCCGTGAAGAAGCTGCCCGGGGCCCCAACCGCTAAACATTCTACACTCTTCTACACCCCAAGCTCCGTCTGCTACAATTGCCTTCCTCAGTCTCCCCCGATTTCATGTACTGTATGTCACGTGGGTCTTGGACGAAAATTTGGGACGATTTTACATCGAAAGTGACGACCCTCTTGCTGATCAGGTGTCGTGACACTAAAAATTGAGATATTGTGTTCGCCTCCCTCTTTCCCTCTCTCTCTCTCTCTCTTTCTCTCTCTCTCTCTCTCTCTCTGTCTCTCTGTCTCTCTCTGTCTCTCGCTCGATTTACATAAATAGAAAATCTGCTCAGATGAAGCTGATGATGATGACGATGATGACGACCATAATTAATGCCGTGATGCTATGATCACGCGAATGGCAAGGGTGCTAATGATGGGCTTTCGTTGTGCCTTCGTGGTTCGCTCTGCTTTCGGGGCATCCGATGCCTAGGTGTTTATGTTGTGTCTGTGCTTATGTATAACATCATGCCGTGTTGTGCTATGCTCCGCCGTTGCATGCCGTGCAAACATGCCATGATTGCGTGCTTAATCCGTGGCTCAGCTTTCGCCGCCTTATGCTGCGGTTACGTACGCAACCTCATGCCATGCTGTGGTGCTGACACTTTGCTTGCTTTGTTCTGCCATGTTCTGCCATTTAACAATTTGTGAGTGCGGTGGTCTTTCAACGTGGTGGGTTGTTTGGGCGTCGGCGTGCAGCGCGCGGGTCCAGACTGTGGTGTACCAGGATGGGCTATTAAAGGCTATTATACCCTGTGATCCCTTAAAAGGCCCTTTATATATGGGGATTATAAGGCCTAATTGCCCATCCTGGCAGCAAGGGTTTGGTCGGGAATGGATGTGGTCGAGAGGCTGTGTGATGGTGGTGAGCTTGTCCCCCACCCCCACAGCCACGCAGAGACGCAGACGTGCACGCGCACACGCACAAACGCACGCCCATGCCACGCCCGCCCATGCTCGTGCCCGCGCCTCCGCGCCTCCGCGCCCGCGCCTGCGCGCGACCACACCCACAACCCCAAACAAGAACCACCACCAAAAACAATAAACTTTCAATAAGCACAAACAATGGCCACAAACCAAAAATCGCACAGACAGAAGCTCTGGGCCTCCATGTCTGCGAGGCGGCTCTGCAGTCCCTCAAGAGCCTCGCACACGCATGACGCAAAAAGGTTCAAGGATGTTCCAGGTTGCCTACTCATCTCCAGGCACCCTATAAACCCTATAAACCCTATAAACCCTATAAACCCTATAAACCCTATAAACCCTATAAACCCTATAAACCCTATAAACCCTAATTATAAACCCTATAAACCCTATAAACCCTATAAACCCTAAACCCTATAAACCCTATAAACCCTATAAACCCTATAGACCCTATAAACCCTATAAACCCTATAAACCCTATAAACCCTATAAACCCTATAAACCCTATAAACCCGATAAACCCTATAAACCCTATAAACCCTATAAACCCTATAAACCCTATAAACCCTATAAACCCTATAAACCCTATAAACCCTATAGACCCTATAAACCCTAACCCCTAAACCCTAAACTCTATAAGCCCTAGAGGTGCAGGGACTTACCGCGGGGGATCTTGGCATGGGCATGGCTTCTAGGACGTTCGGGCATTCATAGCTTCGACCCTCGCAACCCATACAGAAACATAGGGTACAGGTTAGGGTTTAGGGTTTAGGGTTTAGGGTTTAGGGTTTAGGGTTTAGGGTTTGGGGTTTGGGGTTTAGAGTTTGGGGACCAGATGAGCTCTAAAATTGGGTTAGGTACCCTGCACTACTATAATTTCTATTAAGGCCTATGAACGGTAAACCCTGGAGGGTTCATTTGGTCCCCAAGGTAACCATTGGAACCAGAAGCAATCAAGAAGCAATCCCGACATGGTTCGATAACCCTAAACCCTAAACCCTAAACCCCAAGCCCCAAACTGGCGGGGCTCTCTCCTTTTGCTTTTAGGCACCTCCTCCCGGGATTTCAGCTGGCTCTCCACATCGGTCTTGCCGGCCTAGCTTTTTTTTTTTTTTTTGGGGGGGGGGGGGGGGGGGGGGGTTTGTTTAGGACTTAGGGCTTCCGGTTTAGGGTTCAGGGATCAAGGTTTAGGGTTTAGGGTTTGGGGTTTGGGGTTTAAGGTTCAGGGTAATGAGGCTATATAAGATACAGGGGTAGTTGGGGTTCTAATGGATGACAGGGCCCTTTCAGAGTTTGGTGTTTAGGACTTCAGGGTTCACGTGTTTAGGGCTTTTGCCACAGGCAACTACTCTGAACAACTGCCTCCCAATTGTTTCTGATGCTGGATGGTGTGCACCCTAAACCCTAAACCCTAAACCCTAAACCCTAAACCCTAAACCCTAAACCCTAAACCCTAAACCCAAACCCTAAACCTGTCTGGGACTGTTGTCATCCCTCATGCGTCTCCCTTTGTAACAGTGTAGGGTTTAGGGCTTAGGGCATGCAGTGACTTGGGCAGACCTTGGATGCTGCGGTGGCTATAGCAAAGCACGGATTTGGGGGTTTAACGCCCAACCTGTTTGAAGGGAATGCAAAAGGATGTCGAAATTCAGGGGGCCCTGAACAACTCTTTGGACTGCAAATGGAGCTTAGAGGATGTTTAGGGCCTAAACCCTAAACCCTAAACCCTAAACCCTAAACCCTAAACCCTAAACCCTAAACTGAGTAGTAGCTTAGGAACTCAAAAAAGCGCTTGGCGCTTTTAGCTTGGGATCTTCTCCCTT